TCCCCCGCGCTCGAAAACGAGAATGGGAGTGGTGCAGGAGCGGGAGTCATTCTGAATGGGAGCGGGATGGGAGTCGGAGTAATTTCACCAGGAGTGGGACGGGACAGGATTTAGATTTCTACTCTGGCCCAGGATCGGAACGGGACACAATTTTTTTCTGTGGGAGTGGGATGGGACAGGAGTGAAAATCCACTCCCGTCTCAGACTCTACTGTCCACCCTCCTACACACCATCACCAGAGAGAGTCTCAGTTTGCACCTGGACCCAGGACACCATCCTTCCAAGCCCTCCGTGGTTGCCCTGATTAAGAGTAGTTCTTCCCTAAACATGACACCGTGTGGATTTCTGGATGGATCTGGGTAGCATAAATGTTTTGATTGTCTGCACCATTTAAAAAAAATTTGCACATTAAAACTGAACAGCTACTGAGAAAAGACAGTTTAGTTGTACCTGGACCCTGGACCCTGGGTAGGGTTAGAGGGGGCAGATGGGATGGAGCTGGAAATCGGGTCATTTTGGGTAGCAGTTAAGCTTTTTGGCCTGTTCCAAAACACAGACATATGTTTATCAGAGGCTAGCTAAAAAGCTAAAGAAACTTTTTAATATTCCCTGTGCTGACCTTATGATCAGATTCTTACCTTGGTGTTGAAACTGATTTTTCTTTTGGCATGTTGGTTTCTGTTGAAATATTTAATTTTACTATGTTATACATCAACACATCTAATTGATTATTGACTATAAAGTTTGCAGAATAAAGCTTTATACAGCATAAAGAACCTTTTGCTGTGTTATACAACAATAGAGGAATCGACTCACCTCCTGATCCAGGAAGTTTTGAAACTGTGGGGGAAAGTTCTCCCTATCGAAACATACAGAAAAAGCATGCACAGTATCAAGATACATATCCAACAATCACTCAACACAAAAGCTAACCCACCCCTTAATACAACAGAGAAATCTTACATTTCCAGGTTCTTTGACTGCTGCCACAGGTTTATCAGCAGCTTTCCGCCTTAGAGAGTAATATATATATATATATATATATATATATATATATATATATATATATATATATATAT